AGTGCCGGGTGCGGCCTTGATGGGATAAAAAAACGAGGATAAGGGAACCTCCGGGGCAACACCACCACCTACCGGCACCCCAGGCGCTGGTCGCGAAACCGCATCAGGCCCAAACGACCCAGAAGCAATCACCCCCTGCGAGGGCGAAGGCACCATCGCCAACGGTCTACTAATCCCACTGGTGGAAAGAGAAGTCAGATGCACAGTGGGCTCAAATGACGCATAAAATACTGGTGGGGTAATGACTGCCGGCGATGATGTGGGAGGTGGACCTGCATCGGCCACAGGTATTTTTTGCTCAACCGTCTGCCGACTAGTAACGCCTTCTGGTGACCGTTGTACCTCTTTAATTGGGTACTGAATACTTTCGCTGTTTATATGGGGTGCCGATTTAGATTTTTCATCAGACGTGAGGAAAGTCCGTAGCTGCCTCTCCTGATGCAGCGACAGATCGGCCTTACGCTTCTCTTCTATAAGTCCAGTTATCCGCATGTCGGCCTGGCTCAGCTCGTCTTCACGGATCTTGATGCTCTGCTCTAGATGCGCCACTGTCTGCTCATGGCGGCGCTCAAGTGCCTCATTAGCGGACTTTAATTCCCCTTGCGCACGCTTGCCCACCTCGATATCGTGGCGGGCCTGAAGGAGTTCGGCCTCTTTCTCAGAAACCTGTCGCCTTAAGAGCTGTGTCGAGTCGCTCACGGAAAGCTTTGAGTGAGCAACATCGTCCCGTAGCTTGTGGTTGAGATTCGTTACCTGTGCAAGTTCATCACGTAGTTGTTGGAGCTCCCTCTCCTTCGTCTCCAGCACAAGGTTGTGCCGATGCTGTTGTTGTGCGCGATCGGCCTCAAAAGAAGCCTGGAGATGCTCAGAGGAGGCCTTCAGCTCCCGCAACTCGTCTTCCACCGCCGCCTTCGCGTCGACCTCGCGCCGCAGGGTCTGGGCAAGTGTACTCCGCTCGCCTAGCTGCTGCTCCCGTTCCTGGAGCTCCGCACGAGCAGCGAGGCCCTCGTGCTGGGATGACTCCAGCTGCCGTTGAAGCCCTGATATGGTAGTTTCTAGTGATTTGATCGTCTTGTTGAGCTGACGCTGCTCGTCGGCCCACTTCTGACGCTCGTTCTCGTGTTGCTCAGCCAAGTGCCGAGTCTTGACTTCTATGCTTTGTGTGTGCTGGGAATGGCTCGTCTCCTGCATATCTTGGATTCGACGGCGAAGCCGGCTCAGCTCTTCCTCATGTTCCTCGTTCTCCAATGCTAATCGACTCTTTAACTGTTGATTCTCGTGCCGAAGATCGGCAATGAGGTCCTCGTTGGACTTATTACGAAGCAGATGCTCGTTTTGAAGGGCATGAAGAGTGGCGGCGTTAGAATCCGCGCGCTCATCGGACTCGCGTAGACGACGCTCCAGTCGACTCTTG